AGCACTGCTCTGTACCAGCTGACCTCTGAAATAGAGAGTTCACTGGAGCATGGGGAGGTGATGCTCTGCGCGTTCCTAGACGTCGAAGGAGCCTTTGATAACACGTCCCACAAGAGTGTAACAAGGGCACTGGAGAAAAGGAATGTGGCGGCACCAGTGCGTAGATGGATAGAAGCCGTACTGCGCTCAAGGGTTGCTGAGACCACAGCAGGTGATAGCAGTATTCGTCTCGGCACAACAAAAAGCTGTCCACAGGGGGGTGTGTTATCACCCCTGCTATGGAGTCTAGTTGTGGACGAACTGCTAACACTGCTAACAGACAATGGAATCCAATGCCAAGGGTACGCGGACGACATTGTCATTATGGCAAGAGGGAGATTTGAAGACACTCTTTGTKACTTGATCCAAAGAGGTCTCAACCTAGCGAAGGGGTGGTGCAGAGAGGTTGAAATATATATCAACCCCTCCAAGACGTCTGTAATCCCATTTACAAGACGCAGGACCCTACCYGGCTTCAGGAATCTCCTACTGGAAGGTAGTGAAATAGGGATGACCAGCAGTGTTAAGTACCTCGGTTTAACGTTAGACTCCACGCTGAGCTGGAAGCAGCACGTAAACCTGACTTTGGTCAAGGCCACAAGGGCCTTAATGGTGTATAATCGCCTGGCAGGAAGGTCCTGGGGTTTAACGCCAAGAATAGTTAGATGGTTGTACACCATGATAGTAAGACCGATAATCACATATGGGCCTCAGTAGCGTCGCAAACATCAGTTAGAACACAACTACTGAAGCTGTAGAGGCTGGCCTGTGTCTGCATGACGGGTGCAATGCGAACCTGTCCAACCTGGAGGTTCTTCTTGAACTTTCTCCGCTTCATCTGGTCAGCGGTCTGGTAGCCAAACACACTCTTCTGCAAATAACGGCAGAGGGTGGGGAAAAGGAAAAATAGTCTCATCCCGGAGGATGGAGAAGATAAGTGGCAAGTTACCACTGGTCCTCCTCCCGAGGGAGAGTACTACTAAAAAGGTAAACCTAAGGAAGAGATTTAAGGTTACCCTCGGCAGCAAAGAGGATTGGAACGACTCCAACCTCGAGCGGATGTTGAGGAACAGTACTATGAGGTGGTACACAGATGGTTCTAAAAAGTCGGAGGGAATCGGCGCAGGGATTGTGGGCCCACGCACTAGGCTCCCAGTATCCATGGGGGAGTTCCCGAGCATTTTCCAGGCAGAGGTGTATGCTATAAGCCGSTGCWTAGAAATTAACCTCCATCGCAACTATCGCAATGAGCGTATAGCTATTCTAAGCGATAGTCAGGCGGCGCTGAAGGCGATCTCCTCTTACGAGATCAACTTGCTTCTAGTGCAGGAGTGCAGGGAGAGGCTGAATAGCCTTGCGGAGAGAAACCAGGTACACCTGATATGGGYGCCTGGTCACAAAGGTATAGCCGGCAATGAACTGGCAGACGAGCTCGCCCGCTCCGCAGCCTCCACCAGGATGGTAGGACCCGAACCCTTCACAGGAGTGGGTCCCCACACCATCAAGGAGCTGCTCCGTATAAAGGAAAGAGCAGGAAGGGAAGAGCACTGGCGAAAAACTCATGGTGTGAGACACGTCAAGCTGCTAATGTTAGGTTACAACCTGAAAAGGTTCAAAATAGTAATAAACCTCCCCAAGTGCAAACTCAGGCTGTTAGTCGCATGGTATACTGGCCACTGTAAGCTGAATGGGCATCTGCACAGAATGGGCCTATCAGCTTGCGCCGTTTCTGTGACAGGGAGCCTGAAACTCTGGAGCATCTGCTGATCGACTGCACAGCAGTCTGTAGTCGCAGAGCCAAGGCCCTTGGAGTTCTATTTCCGGATAGGGATCGCATTGCCTCGCAGAAAGTGAAGATGTTGGTTGCTCGACGTCGTAACGAAAAGAGGTGCGCGAGATCCTTTCTCTTTTCCTTTCACTCTAATTAGAATGTAGAATGTCATCGCGTTTGGTTGCATGCGCGTGTATGTGTGTTAATGTGTGCTGTTCTCTCGCGTGATGAGGTGAATGGTTGATTCGGTGTGGTGAATTGATGTGACGTCGCTACTCATTTAGTCATCCCGGCCCCCCTAGGCGAGTATTTAGCCTAGAAGCCGCTGTAGTTGCTGTAGCGTAGCTACAACGCTGCTGAGACCTGTTGACCGGCGGGATTGCGGCCTAAATTGATGGTGCCGTGTTGATGTTGCTCGGTTTTGGCGCCAGAGACGGGATTCTGCTGGAGAGGGTCCAAGCCGTCGGTATGCCGTCACAGAAGTTCTTCGAGAACGCTTGACGTTACCGTTGGTGCGAGGAGTCGGTGGTCGCCCGGAGTCGCGTCTGGTAGTGCGGTGCAGCAGCGTATGATGAGCCCGCACACAGATTTGGCAACGATTATGTGATGGGCACCCTGAGTTGCGTGGGAAGTTGCCAGGCAATTCAGGCAATACCCGTGCGCCTGTGCCACCTGCTGCCGTTGCATCGGCGCCATGCCTTTCAAGATGCCGCAGTGCGATAGCCGATGCGGGTGGCGACATAGTGGACAACGAATTCGTTGCAGATACACTAATAATGCATGTAATGCTGGCGTGCTTTGACGCGGAGCCGTTGTCGTGGTGGAGCTTGTCGTTGTTCGAGGCGCTGTCGGTGCAGTGTTGGTCCGGGGTGCTGCTATTGGGACAACTTCAGAGCGAGGGGCGGAGGCTGCCGAACGCATGGTTGGCGTTGACGATGATGTCCATATTTCTCTGTGAGAGAAATGATGATATTA